CGCATTGACGTCAGTTTCGCAACGTCGGTTAAAATACCGTTCGCGTGTTTCTTTTCACAAGCCGTGGCCGTAACCACCACCGGCGTGGCCGTAACCACCGCCGAAACCAGCTCCGAGTCCCGCGCCGTGTCCCGCGCCGTACGCCGCGCCGTACGCGACTCCCGCACCGTGTCCCGCGCCGGCTGCCGCACCGAGTCCTGCACCCGCGCCGTGTCCTAAGGTAGCCGCGTAACCAACACGATAAGACGTGTACGAAGGTGCGCTATAGCCATGGGAGGCCACTGGCGCGCTGTAAGTGTGGGAATAAGCAGGCGCGGCGGCGACGGCGGCACCATGACCCGCGGAATAGGTCGCGGCATTGCCCAGGTAACCGTGTCCGTATCCTGAAATTAAAGGGGGCGTTTGTCGGCTGATCTTTGACCGAAACGCATTCCCGAGGAGGTCACAACGCGCGAACGAACCCTGGCTCGAACGTCGCGAGTTGCCGAGCGCGAGATTCGGATCGCGCGGGAAATTTTCACGACGAAACGTTCGCCCGTCGGTAAATTGATCCCGATACATCCCCGTTAATTAACAGTAACGTCACATCAAAGTTATAACTTCTCGCTCGATAATGTAAGTGCAACATAACATGCATTGTGTGTAAGAGTTATTATATATATTGTTGAATGAGAAGCATCGTTGTGATGTTACCGTTAGGTGATGTTTACTGACTCGCGAATCGCCGTCGACGAGAGCTCAATCCTCTCGTTTCCCGACGGTGTAATTTTCAATTTTTCAACAGCTTTATAAAGAAGTATTTATCGTTAACGGTCCGCGATTACAACGTTATGGGGGCAATGCGAAAATAGATTGATGGACTGGATATCCGTCCCTTCGGACTATCTAATCGCAAAATCTGCCGACGACGGTGAAAAAATCCCCCCGCTGTGTGTAGTCGTCAAAGTCTGCGGGAGATTGCGTAGGCGAATAGGCTCAGCAAGAATTCTGGACTATTAGCGCACATATCCGCCGTAATTACGTTAGACATATTGCATAGTGGAACTGATTCCTTTTTCTGCACGGACAATGGTACAGACGTGACGGACGTGGCTTGAAATTGCCTAACAAAAGTGGACCCGCCCACAAAAATTAACATAAAAATTCCATTAAAGAGGAAATCTTTCTTTTCTATGCAAATACCTCCGTAACCCGTTCCTACGCCAGCCAGGTTGCCTTGAAACCCTATTCCTCCATGTCCGAGTGCACCGTATCCCAGACCCAGGACGCCTCGTTTGTCCTGCTTCTTTGTCACCTGCGTCTCCTCGCCGTAAATGGGCAATGCCAGGCAAAGGACAGTCAGCAGGAACTGCGACACCAGAGCGAAAATGTAGTGCTTTGTACGGTATTTATCTCGTTACGAATTCGCATGTCGTCGTTCACGACGACAAACGTATGTTTCATTACATGAATAGCTTATTTAGCAAACAGAGGGACGAAGTGTCGCGAATGAAACGATGCCTTTAATTTTACAAGGCGCAATTTAGTTTCCCACAGACTGCGTTGTAAGAGCGACAATTGGAACGATTTATTAACAATCAAGCGCGGCACGATCGATCCGATTTCTTTGCGCCTCTCCACCGTTTCCATTTACTTGAATGAAGAATCCCAAACAAAGCTTGAATTTATCTTATCCAATTCCACCTCCGGTCGTTATTCGCTAACCCGCTTCTCCTCAAGTTTGCGAATCTGCGCGAAATTTTATTCCGAAACGTAACGTCATTTTGACTGACCTTTATGACGGTTTTATCACGATTTTTACGTCTCTCTTTTCGTTCGGGAAAGGGCTTTGAATGAGAAAGCTGAATAAAGATTGCAGTTTTTTAACATCCTACACAGACGAAGCTTCAGAGGGAATTTATCGCCGAGGAGTCTGCTCTCCTCCGTAGGAAATGATTTCAGAGAGGTAAATTTACTTTTAACTGAATATAAAGAAAGAAGCCCGGTAAAAAGTAATTTTACTTACCAGAGCGTTCATGATGGCGACGATGATGATGCGGCGGTGCAGGGATCACTACTGAAACTGGTGCAGATCGCATGAGACACACCCCCTTTTATACCCGGTGGAGTCTTTTCTCACAGTACTGCATCTCGACGAAAAGAGTAACACGCGTGTGTATATGTATCGCACAACCACACACGCACACGCACGGTTAAATACGTTAGCGGGAAGGGGGCAGTTGGAGAAGCAGTTAGCGGGGCGATAGCGGGGCGATAGCGGAGAGGTAAGAAAACGTTACGTGCGGCGCGTGGCTCTAATACGCCTTTCTAAAGCGATTTTTCTTGCGCGCTCGTCACGAAAATTCGTTGTTACGAGACTGCGCGCGCGATCGGCATCGACGCCGCACTTGCGTCAGTGGAGATTAAAAGTTGATCGACTGATCGCTCGAGGGAGGATCGAGGCCGAGGGTAACGAGTTAAGGATCAGGAATTAAGTATGTCTCTCTCTTAGAATTAATTTCTTTATTATATCGAGGCTAATCGAAACGCACGGCCGCGGGATACATGGGTACGAATGGGTCAGACCGGCTTTGAATTAAAATTACCCGACAGCCGATGCAACTTGATCCGCAGGAATGGAAGAGAAAGAGGGAATCACGCGATGTCTACCTTCGATGTGAGCGCACGAAGATCTTCCCGATCCAAATACGCGACTTATCCCGTTCGTCGAGCCGAAATCTCTGCTCTGTGTTAAATCTTTAATTCTGCAACTTAGTACATTGAAAAATACGGTTGGATCTACAAAATGAGCGGTTCCTTCGTTTAAAAAATGTCACGTCCGTTGAACAAATTATGCGTTGGCGCAATAATATATTGTGCGGATATAGTTGCTGATGAAATCGTAATTGGTGAATCAACTGATAATTCACTAAAGGAATTATGTAATTTGATCAATAGACTAAATGTTGCGCTTGAGAAAATTATGTTCATTTAAGCGAAATTTCGTTGATTTAACTACTTTTCTTCTCCAGGAGCTGAGATAGCGAAATAAGTTTAATTTCAATCCCAATAATGTAACTCCTACTTTGATCCTGACGATGACTTAAATTTCCGTTTTTGTTGCTTTAGCGTCAAAAAATAGGTTACTGAGTGTAACATTAAAATTCAATATGTTATTAAAGGTAATTGTGTTATTAAAGGTATCTGTTAATTAAAGGTTCAAGACAGAAGTTGTCAATACCGTAAGAGGTTCTTATTAATCTATAGGCCGTCTAAGTAGGCGCAGATTATTTTTAAGAGCTTCAGAATAGCACAAAAATTCGACGTCTCGGGTCGGCTGGACGCAACGATACGGCATGACGACATACCGTATCGCATTTTCCGCGCATCTTAAATTTCATCCACGACGAAACTTTCACTGTCGCACTCCGCAACGACGACGGTTTTCGGTTGCAACGTTACGTAAAAACGTGCAGACATTTTTCTGCCCGGTTCACTCCTCCCACACACTTCCCCTCCCTTTCCCTGTTGCAACCTATCGCATATCCCGCAGCTGGCGAAACAGGAAAAAGAACGAAGACGAAAGAGAGATGAGGGAGTTTCGCCTCCGAGATTTAACGCTGATCTTTGCCCCCCTCAGATTCATCGGAGAAATTGCCAATGAAGATAACCCGGTAGTTTTACACTCCGCACAGACGGGACTTCGGAGGGAGACTTATCGCCAAGGAATCTTCTGTCCTCCGAGAGAATGACTTCAGAGCTAAATTTACTTCTGACGAAGTACACAATATTACAAAAATAATCTCTCGCTCGCTTATTTCCACCTCTTTATCGGGACATTGAAAAACACAAGAAATAGATCCCTTTTCGGATTCCAGGTGAGAAAATGCGAGGAGTTAATTGCTAAGCGTGCGGCCGTTTATCACCGCCTCTCACGCAAGCGTTATCTTCCCGTTCCTTCGCCACTCGGCGTATAATCGCCATTTTGCAAACGGACTGAACCGTGAACTCGATTCGACACAGCAGGCGGTTATTAAATTAGGAAAAAATCCTAAAAGACTCGTTAATCATGGGAAAGTTAGCGAGAGATGCAAAACGCGGCCCGTCTGTGAACGCCGAACAACGGGGGCCTTCGAAAGGGCCGTGCCGGCGAAACGGACTTACGTCAGTGTGCGATACGCCTAATGGTATCGACGCACGTCATACAATAAAGCACGTCATACCGCTAATTTTCCGCGGAGGAGGAGAGAAAGGTGTATCGCATCAAAGGTCGTACGCCGCCGGCTATTGTGCAAACCAAGTGCAATGAGGGGGTTGCGCCGGGCACACCCCGCTGATCAACCGCGCGCACCGGGAAATCGCGGATATCGCGAAACGCTATCGGACTTTTACAATCGGCCGTTAATGTTGTCCGGCTCGCTCGCGTTCGCAAGGAAATATTGACAACGCCCGATTTTCTATGCGATCTTCTTTACATTTTTTTTTTCTTTCCTGCAAAATGAAGCGAATTATTAATTAATCGCACCAGGGGGAGGATGCTCTCCTCAGATATCACGGGGAAATTTGAACGTCGAATGTGAATATACTTTTTATGGAGGAAGTCGTGATGTACGACTTTTCGATTTCCTTTATTCTTTTATATAATAAAGCACCAACGAGATACTGTTGAAGACCATCTACCCTGGACAAATTTTCGTAACCACTAAAAAGGCTTGGGGCGCACTGGTGGTAACTGAAAGAGGATAATATTACATCGACTGTTTTTAGTCTTTCATCCGATATTAATATCTGAATAGTTTAAGTATAGTATTTTAATTTAAAAATTTCTGATTGCCTTTTGATGTTTTATCGATGTATGCATACAAATTTACAATTAAATATGTAAGATATTTTTGTGAAACTGCATTTTTGCAATTACTGTCTACATTGATTTAACATTAATTTGAGTTAAATGAACAGAAATTATTAAACAGTGAAATTTCCATATATTCACTAAAGCCCGTAAAGTTGGTGGATTTTACTTCGTTACTGAACGAAGCGATTAACTCGCGGTGTTAATCGCGTAAATAAGAAAATATATTTATCATTTACATGGTACAAAGAATTTTGACAGTACCGTTTGCCTCTCTTTGCCTCTTTTATCTTCGTCTGATTTTAAATTTCTGTCTATTTCAAACATAGAGGCGTGCGATGTAGCGCAATTGCAACTGCGCAGCAACAGAACACACGAATGTCGATAACCTTACAAAGAAAAGTGTAGGGAAGGATTCATAGATGGCGATGAGATGTCGTTTAGTACCTGTTCGTTTCAGCTGCACTTTAGTAGTTCTTCGGATGTGTACCTGTTTTACGGTAAATGCAGAAAGTGTAATGTAATAGGGAATGCGGTTTCAGTGTGTGTATGTTTGTATGAATAATTACTAGATTATTATTCACATACCCACATCGTAGTTCACCCACCACCACTTTAGCGTGAATGTGTGGCACGCGTACGAGAACATAACCTCTCTTCGTATGTTACTCTACGTTCCTTCGCTATAATCGATTATGAAAAGTCTCGTTTATCTTATGATTTCAAAAATCAAATAATTCCGTAAGATTTCCGTTGTCAGATATGCCGCGATCAGTTTTGTAGCAATGCAGTTGTACTTATGTGCCAATGTTCGTAGACTACATAACCTTAATGTTTTCCCGGTAAGCTTGTTTACATCTGACAAATCCTCATACCCACGACAATTACGACGTGTTTAGATAAAATATTTCGATGGGAAATTAACATTCTACTATCGTTATTATATGCTATTAAAATTTGTAATTCTGGATTATTGAGTATCGAGATATCTGTCAATATATTAATTAAAAATAGAATACAGAAAGAGATTATATAGTGTGCATGTTTATGTTGTATTTAATTATCTATTCGCAGAGCTTGTGACGTTATAGCCAAGTATACTACGAATAATATCCGTATCCACACATCAATCGACAAAATCATGATCATGTTGAGAACTTGTAATTGTGTCTTACGTGCGCCATCTCCCGACATGTCAAATGTGCACCGAACGTTTGTCAGAAGTTACCGTTCTTCGAAGGCGGAGAGGATAAACAAATTAATGAAGGAATATAAATCTGTGTTTGGCGATTTGCTTGAAACGAATAAAGAAAAGAATACGAGGTTAAAATTAGAAAGAAAAGGAAAGATTCCTAAACAGAAACGAAACAACTCAGATACGGAATTTTCATGGGTCATGAAACAATCTCGTAATAGTGTAAAACGAATCGTCGTATCTGAAAAACAACAAAACAAACATGAAGATAAGAGTCGGACAGATTGGACAAAATCCCCGGAAAATTTCAGCTCGGTGACGGTGGAAGATAAAAGGCCGGCCAATCGAAATATCGAAGATACTTTTCATTCAGAGTCCAGTCATTCTACGCAGAAAATAACGCCTGAGATTACCGGCCAAAAAACACTCATAGAGAATAATTCCCACGATAGCATATCGTCTGATTCAAATGCGACTGATATTGAAAGTTCAGCTGCGAAGCGCGGTGTACTTGAAAAATTTTTTGACATTGTCGTAAAGAATATACAATCTTTTTCGATTATGGGCAACAAAAGAGAACCATCGGCAGAATTGACGGAGGTGTTATCGATATCCGCGAAAGATGATTTGAAAACGATAAGATTTCCCAGCGTGACAAAGATTCTAATGCACACCATGTCACCGGAGTCGAAGCTGGCCTTGGAAGTGTGGAGGAGAAGAATGATAATAATACTTGGGCAAAAGGGATTCGACAGGTATCAGAGAGGTACTCGATGAGTTATTCCGCGCGCGCGTTTTCAAAGAGTATAAAAAAAATAAATCTATTCGCTCTTGATGCGCAGAGCTGTTGGAAGACGGATCATCTCTGCACGCGTGCATAGCGCGCAGCTTGCTGGGGAAAGAATACGAGGTCTCCTCCCGAATTGAGCCGGTCTTCAAAAGCGTGCGGAGCGTCCTGGAAAACGTGAGCGAGGTGAAAGCGATCGAGTCGCACGTAGCTCACACAAAACTACGTTACAAAGGCATAGTTGACTGTGTAGCTTCCTACAGGTAAAACAGAACTTTGCCATCGCAAGGCAAAGTCTGCTCCGAAACGGGGCAGCGCCACAGAGGTCACCACGTCTCTGAATTTGGCACCTAGCTTTTAAGCAATTAAATTTTCACTATAAAAAGTGCTATTTTCTTTGTGATTGCTTGCAGTTTGCAACCGTTCGTAATTTCGATCATTAGAAAATTGCGTTCTGAAAATAACCCTCATCAGAATTTAATAATAAAAGAAGCACCACTAATAGTTATTAGAATTGCTCGTAATTGCTCGCAGTATTTTTGATTTTATTTTTGTAATTGCGCGATTATAAAATACCGATAATTAAAACGACGTGTATAAACTTACTACAGGGTGATTTTGAGCCGTATCGGCTTTTACCTACGGACTCCTCTTTCGAGTGATGAAGTCTGAAATCACCCTGTACAGGTTTAGTATGCTCTCACACGTACCGAACTCGCAGGGGCGAGAACTACGTGATCGATTGGAAGAAGTCGGACAAGAAGAAATTGGACTTGAAAGCAACGTATGACGCGCCCATACAAGTCGCCGCGTATATCGGAGCTATCAATGCTTCGAATTTATATCCATTTGCGGTAAATATCTCTACAAAATGAAAATAAAAATCGAAAATCTACATCAGAAATATCGAATTTTCACAATACTGCATGGAAAGATCTTTTTTTAAAAATGCAATTTCAGTAATCCAAAAACTTTGATATTCCAATTTAAAAATTCTCAATTTCAGTGAATCAACTTCAGTCATAACTTTTTGTCAGATATTACGAACTCAGTGCAAATTAATTTAATAATACCAAAAGAATAAACTTAATATCGTGATATTTTCTGATCGTTAATTCATTCCGTGGCGGGCCGTTTTTCACGCGACTTTCAATTCACGCCACGTGTATTGAAAATGGCACACGATGTGGAGCTTGATAAATGTGTTATAATTATTTGATTTATGATTTTTTTTGTGAATTAGAAAGTTATTTATTATAAAAGTGGATATTCAAAGTGTAAAATGCACAGTAGAGTGAAGCAAATAAGTTTATTTCAAAATTAAAATATTGAAGAATAACAAACAAGATATTGTAGAATAAAACAGAACGCACTAGACAGACTATAGCTTGTTATAAAACAAATAAAATGTAAACTTGTGAAACATTTTGCGTTTATAATCGAAGCGATATACGATATTCTTATTGAAACAATTTATACATACGTACGATACGTTGGGTCAATTCTCATAAAATGTTGTTACCCGTTGTTTATTTTACCTCTGATGTTTTCGGTACCAAAATGTCGAATTCATTTTATTTAGCGTAACACTCATTACTACGTCATGTGCGCCGAAATCGATCCACGTCTTTAAAAGTACACCAAATATGATAACAGAGTGTGAATTGGTGATAAGGCAAATCATTTTACTTTATTATTTAATGACAAAAATATCATTTGGCTTGGAGTTTTAAGTCCACGCGTGTATCGAAAACGATACACGTGTTAAAGAAATCCCGGCGTTAGCCGCGTGTGTGTGTCGCAATTATCCGGACTGACCGGGTATCTCTTGATTCGTATCTCTTGATTTCTCAGATAAAGCGCGGGTTAGTCGTGATTGCTTACACGTGTGGCGACCCAGCAACGGTGCACGAAGTGTGCGACGACACGCTGCAGAAGTACTGGATGATGTGGTTACAGCGTTTGCAGCAGTACCACGTCGAAACGGCGAGCAACGACGACAATACGAGCAATAAAACGCTAATGTAACGGCGCGCCGCGTATATTCATTAAAACTTCCTCACGCGGAGCCCCCCCCCCCCCCCCCCCNGTCAGCCGTGGATAACTCCCGACGTCGGCGGCCGAAGTTTTTAATTCCATCCCTAGCGCGTCAGAAGTTGCAATAATCTATAGTCTTCGGGGAGTAGTTGGAAAAGCTCTCCTCGTCCGAGTCGGAGGGAACCGCGGAGGATGCGAGAGGAGCAAAGCGAGAGGAAAACCGCGTCGATACGGCGACTCATTAAGCCTTGCGGTGAGCCCGGCGTTGGTGATTCGTCGGTGACGAGAATCCTACGTGTACTTTTTTTTTAACGACTTTTTTGAACGACTGAACGAGCGCTATTAAACGAACGAGCGTGAAAGTGTACTTACATTACGTTGCGAGTAAACGGCCGATTACAGAATATTGTAACTTTATGAAATACATTTTTTACTATCATGAAAAGTGCATCATACCTTTTCCCGAGATTATCCGCTCATAAAGTGTATTTTGCTTTTTCGGGAGCCCGCAAGTTTTGCGAAACTTTAATTTATGTAAATACTGAATATTCTTAGTTTTTTTTAGTCCGGAGAGATTTCAAAACTCGAAGCTCTCTCCCTTTCTCTCTCTCCCCCTCCCGGGTTGAGAAGCAGAAAATTGCAGGAGATGTGGGTGCGACTGTCTCGAAAAGAAAGAAAAGAAGAATGGAGAAAGAAAAGTTGGAACACTGATCTCACCCTTGCGACATATGCGAAGGATAAAAACGTAGCGGGTGGACCGTAAAAACATGGTCACCAGCCGCGTCGCCGCGACTGTCGGTTAACATACAGCAATTATAACTTTCTGCCCGCAGCTCTGGAACGATGGGGGGGGGGGCTACCGCGTTACGCGGCTCCTCGTTACAGGGTCCCATAAACATCGCACCCAACCCTTCGTGCGCCCATGGGGATCGTAAACTAATGGTGAAGCGGTGTAGCGGAATTATATCGTTCGTTGTGTTTCCGCATACCTGAATCTCACACACACACACAGAGCCGGGAGAGTCGCGTTAGGATATCAGATATTGCGCGTCCTTTACTGGTCCTGACTGGTGGTTTCATGCGACGCGCACACGGCACAGGAGACACTCGTAATGGGAGGAAATTTGTGACTTGAATATATCTTAAATAAAAAATTCATATTTCTTTGGCGTGTACGAGAATGTACGATTACGCCGCTAGAAGAATATCAATTTATTTCCCTCGGAATATTCGTGTCTCTTCTTCCTTTTCAAGCATGTTTAGGTCCCGTTTTCCTTTTATTGTGTTAATAATAATTCCGCACGCTCTTTACGACATTCGATCTTTGCGAGGAAGTTGCTGTTTTGCATCAAACAATTCTTCCATTAGCGTGCAAAGTAACATCACAATTACCGCTTCCCTCGTTTACCGACGAGTATAAATGCTCTCTCGTCACGTTGCAAAACAAATGCCGCTGCGACATTGCTGCCGAGAGGTGCACTGGTAAACGGTGCGATAATAATAGCTGTATTACACAGCGCTGTAATAACGGGAGCAGATTATAGATCTGCGCCTCTGCCTTTTCGCGAAATAATTGAATGAAAGTTTGCCCAAATATTTTCCTCTCTCGTACCTTACACTGTTCACAACTCGGTACCCCACATTTAAGTTAAGTGAGGAAGTGCCAAAGAGATTAATTGAAGAGATTTAATTAGCGATAATTTAGACTCTATTCTTTTTTTTTTTAATTACTAGGAGAAGCTGTGCGATGCACGTACACATACGCGTAGTCGCATACACTCACGTCCAACTCACGAATAACCGCCGGAGGATCCGTGAAACCACGGTAAAACCGACGACGTTGACCCGTTGAAAACGTCATTACGGGGCGTTTCTTTCGTTTTGTCGCGGCGCACGGTGCCGGATCAAAAGAGCAAACCACCGCGGCCGCGTGCCGCAATCTGTTTTCGTAATACGAGATAACGTTGCAAAGTGAAATTTAGTGCAGGCCGCGGATTATCCGCCGTCGCTGCCGAGAATTCCGTCGTTCGTGCGTCCGTTCCCATTCCGGCGTCTGTCCCTCCCGGTGAATCCTGAGAGAAGACAACCATATTTCCGGATTAGACATTTAGCGAGAGCGCTCCCTCCCCCCCCCCTTTCCCCCAGATGACTCTAAATCTCCCGGCTAATCCCAGCTAATCCTCCCGTAACAGCGGCATATTTTCATCGGTCGATCCACCCCTCTTCAAGCGCCGAGAATTATGAAAACGATAACTTCAACTTGCCCGACGAGCCTTCCCACCCGTCCCGCGGCTTCCCTCGCATTCTGAACGCACAGGAAAATGCGGGAAAACACAGGAAATGCGCGGAGATTACCGAGCTCCGGCGATTTATCGGTGACCCGCGAGGAGAATCGTCCTACGAGCGATTCTTTAAGGTCCTCGTCTCTAATATAGCGGCGATGGAAGCGGATTTTTATCGACTCTCGTGCGTTCCGAGGAAACTCGGCGGTCATTTATTCTGTTTATTCTGCTGAGAGGATCCCGCGAAAACTTCTCTCGTAACATCCAATTTGGGATAATTATTCCTCCCAAGGGAGCAAGCTCCAAACATCGTGATCGTGATGCGTGTCGTCAAGGACATCTCGTCCTGAGTAACCTGCAAAAAGTTTTAACCGGCGGTCATTGTTTATTAAAGAAGTTTGGAAAAAAATTATATGTATAACACTTATTCTTAATATTGTATACTAGAGGGGAAATAAATAGTTAATATATATCTAAAATATACAATGCAAAGACTACACGTGTTATTTGGAGAGCGACAGTAAAAGCCTAACGTAATCTTCTTTATTTTCTTCATTTTATTCATATTTTATTTTTCTTTTTATTTCTGAGTGTATACTAGAATAGCGTATCACTGGGAAATACGTGCAAGAATAAGACATACATTGCAATAATGTGACACTTGGAGCGACTAAAGAATTGGTTTGCGTCGCAATATTAGGATATATTATCGCGACACGTTTTTTCCCCGAGGACTTAAGTTCCCGATATCCCCGAAGATTTTCGCTTTTTTCCACGACTCAATAAGAAAGCAGCCACGGGACTGTCCTCCGCGATGGAACACTTCTCCCGTTAATAGCCGATCGAACACACCGCGCAACTTTTCATCCGGGCGCGTAGGAATCCCCGGGATCGTAAGCTCGCCTTCAGGAGAGATCGCGATAGCTCGGCGGGCGGAGAAGTCGGACGGGCAAACTGGAGCACGTCCGAAATTACGAAGTTTTCATCGTCTCGACGACGACGGAACGAGCAGTCGTTGCGTCGATATCCTTCAGGGGGGAAGTTTTGAGGCCGCCCGCTCTCGACGGCCAAGCGCGCGCGCGCGCGCGCGCGCGACGAGTGCTTCTAATGGCGAAAAGTTTATAAATACAAGGCAGGTTCGACGGTTCGAGGGAAAATGGAGGAGCGCGCGACAGTCGATGATAAAGGCGAGCCGCGTCCAAAGAGAGTCGCATGCCCGAATTAATTCTCTTCGGGAGCGCGGCTCGTCGTGCATGAATTATCGATCGCTGCCGCGCGCAACGGTCACGCTACATTTGCCTTCCAATAATAATTAATAATCAAGCGAAGCGGAGCGGAGCGCCAGGGCCAACCTACAAAGGGCCGGATTACACGCGAGACGGAAAACGACCTCGTGCAAATGCCGCGCGCACCGAATGACCGCTCTCGCTCTGTGAGCGTCAACGGGGAGTGTCTCGACTCCGCCGTCGTAATTTCCCGATCTGACTCCTGTAATTTTGCCGCCAAATGCGCGGCCGAGCGGCCACGTGAGCGAACGATCTCGCCGCGCGTGTCCCTCCCGCGCGAGAAGCGGAGCCACCTCGCAATCGCGTTTTTCCTTCGAAATAAAAAAAAAGACTTCGTCGCCTTCGTTCTTGTCTAATTATGAAGCAGCGCGATTCTTCACGCCGCGACGTCGGCTATTTCATTTCGCGAAACTTCGCGAAACGCATTATCTCCCGGCGAGAGTCAACAGGATTTTGTATATTTCGCCGCTTTATTTCAACGGGTACAAATCGTCTCTCACGGTTGTTACACGCGCTAATAAGAACGAGTGTTGCTGCGAAATGGCCATCATTTCGTAAACGCTGGCCAGCTTCTGTACTTACGCGCTGGTATTGCACGGTTTTCAACGTGGCGTCCTCTTTGGGGACTTGCTCAGGTGTGCACCTGCGGCCAATTAGGGAGCGCGCATTAAAAGCGATTCAAACTGCGTCCTAAAGCGAACGCAGCGTAATTGTGTCTCGTTGGCTCCGCCAGGACGCGTGTGCGTAATAATGCGGCATCTTGCCGAGATCGATAAGACCGACACGGATAAAGATGGGCCAGCTACGGGGTGTGCCGAGTAGAATCTGCGAAATTCCGCCCCACGCGACGAGTAACACAAATGAAATCAGTTTCGCATTGAAACAGCCAGGATCATTTGTGAAAACTCCTTCTGTGCCTTGAAAATCGGATTTTCCTGTCATTCTGCGTACAGTAGTATTAAGACGGCGTTATCGAAAAGTGAATATTTTATGATATTTTATATCTTGTACCGAAAAATGTCAGAATAAAAAGTAGAATATCTCGAAAAATCTTCACTTTTCGATGATCTTATCTTAGTACTTTTACACGCTGAATGAACAGAGGAATCGATTTGTGTTAAAAAAATTATATAATTCCATTAAAAAATAGAACTCCCAGTGCTTATTCTTCTTTTAAGTATCCTCGCAATTCGTTTGTGTAATAAAATGCGCCTATCGAATAATCAATGTTAAATATTAAACCTAGCTTGCCACATCCAATAGGTCGCTAAATATTTTTCAGTTTCCTAATTTTCACATGGCATACTATTTTTTTTTTTATATCAGGTGTCCTACAACGAATGAATTTAATTACGAATTTCAAAAGAAATTAGAAGAGCCCAGAAGACCAAACTGAATATTTGAACAATTTCGACTAAATTATATCTTCATTAAAACTATATTAAAAATGAGTCAGCCTCCGCCTCTGACGATTTCTTCC